GAAAAATAAATCCATTTCTTTTATCTCGTTCAAGCAAGACATTCTATTTGCTACCACTGCTCGAGACTTTAGCTTTTTCTTTGACTTTGAGCTTTTCTGGCCGTCGTCTTCTTCATTTCTGTATCTAAGCATCACAGTTGGCAACCTGAGAGAACATGGAAGGAAGGGTTTGTTTTCTTAAGAAACGCATTGCCTGTCAAGTGTAAACGTTCCTTTTTGCAGCTTCTCTAACAAGCTGCAATGGCAGTCTGTTTACAAAGTTTTGCCATGCAGAGTTCAAGCAGATGACTTCTTACAAGTTTTATATGCTGTTTGAAATAGCCTCCTCCTCTAATAACTCCAGCCGACCCATTCTGCTGCTGAAATGCCAGATAACAACCAGGAACTAACAGCAACTGAAGAGAAGATTACCACTTTTATTGCTTGAATCTGAAGTGAACATGAGTGGACCTTGCCAGATTTTCAGGATGTAGAGACCAGAATTGCAGAAGGCCAGGAATAAATGTTGTGGGAAGTGCTGCAAGGGGTGTCTTTTTTGTCTAGTTCAGCACAAACATGATTAAATATTGAAGAGTAGGTTAAAATGTGTATATATGGGGGAATGAGAGTCTGAAAAAAAATTCTATAACTGTGTTTGGCTGAACATCCTTACAGAACTCCAGTGACCAGAAAATGCTGACTTTCTCAAGTGGTGTTGTATACTGTCAAGTTGCAACTGACTTACAAATAGGATTTTCAAAGTTTATGAGAAATTTAAGTAGTGGTTTTACCATTTCCATCCTCCCTAGTGAGTTTTCATGGTGGAGAGAGGGCTCGAACCCAGTTTTCCTGAGTGGTGGTCCATCAGTCTGCCCACTCTACCACACAGACTATCAAGGGTACATTCAGTTGAACACTGTTATGATACTATTATCTCCTTAGAATGGTAGGCCAGCTGTGGAGTTCTAGAAACTCACATTATATAGAAGGGCCCTTACTGACTGACATTGTTTCTGAATACAGTACTTAAAGTCCTAGGATTAAGTCTTCTGCATTTGTATCTCAGACTGCAGGATTGAGGATGATTTCTGCCAAAGAGACATTGCCAGTTGAGTAGAGTAGGTGATGATGCTGTTTTAGGTAGACATTACTGGAAGTGTAACTATATTTATAGGTAATTATTATTCTTTTCTTTTTTGTTATGTGATCAGAGGATTGTAACTTAGTTTTCAAATTACTACTAATAATTTTTTTTAAAAAAAGACACATCTTCATGGGGTGATGGCCAGTTTGTTTGTTTACTTGTATGTTGTCAGAAAAATAACCAGCTGCTGTGTAATAATTAAGATAAAAGATTAGCAAAATATTGTGGGCTTTACAGAAAAATCATGTCACTGCTGGTGAACAATCACACTTCATAATTATTTGCACACTATGAACATGTCTAAAATGGGAAAGCATCAGAAAGAGGGAAATGCAGAAAGATGAAACAAATGCAGAATACAAATCAGAAAAGAAAAACAGTAGTCTCATCTGTGTAAAAACATGCTAACACCAGTAACATTTGAGTAAGAATGGTAGTATAAAGCAAATTTATTTAAAAAACACAGGTTTGTACTATATAGGTGAATGCACATTGTCCACCTCAATGATGCAGGGAAGACAGTGATATATGCAAGCATACAGCATGCTTAAGTAACTAAATAGCTACAGCACACAACAGTAGCAAGCATACTGAATATTGAGAAACAAACACTGTTGGTTGTTGTGGGTTTTTTGGGCTCTTTGGCCCTGTTCTGAAGGTTCTTCCTGACGTTTCGCCAGTCTCTGTGGCCGGCATCTTCAGAGGACTGGAGTAGGAACTCTGTCCTTGCTCTGTTTCTACTCCAGTCC